TACATCCCCACAACGAGTGAACATATTTGGCATCAAAATTTAGCAAAAGGTCTGTCACATAGGTGAATATTAAAAGATAAATAGAATTGAAACAGAAATGATACATATTCCATATAATTCAATCGCAATTGTTACTCTTTCAAATTATAGATTCCATCCCCTTATTTCACAGTATATTTACTTACTATAGCTGCGCTGACATTTTCACAAAAGTGAATGTTCTCCTAACTAAAATTGAGAACTTGCTAAAATTGCAGAAGTGCTGGAAAAACGTAAATGGGATGGAATTAAAACACTAAAACCTGGAGTTGGCACAGCAGGGTCAGGGGCCGGAAGATGACAGAAGGTAAGTGGAGTTAGAGGAGCCGACTGGGAAACCATGGCAGGAGTGCTTTGTCCATTCTCTAGAGGCTGGGCAGCCACGGCTTTGGTTATTACACCCTACGTCTGCTTCATCCCACTAAGAAAAAAATGTACATCACACTCATTTTCCATTCTATAAGAAGGGCATTATGAGAATTTCTGACAATGAGAACTGGCTTTTATTCATAGAGAGTTAGAATAAATGAAATCTCTGATTCTAGTCTTCCCATAGTGTCATTATCTTCAAAAAAACCAAAGAAAAGTATAAAGAATTCTCACATTCTGATAATGCAATAGAAAACTGTTTCACTTCCACTTGTTAGGTGTTTTTACTCTACTTTCCATTTTTAAATATTATAACATTTATTAAAATTTCTTAATAAAATAACATGAGAAAACACACACAACATATTGTTAATTTTAACAGCAGGTTATAAAACAGAAAATGCGGATACTTTTATTTTATTTTTTTTTTGAGACAGACTCTTGCTCTGTTGCCAGGCTGGAGTGTGCAATAGCGTGATCACAGATCACTGCAACCTTCAGCTCCTGGGTTCAAGTAATTCTCCTGCCTCAGCCTCCCAAGCAGCTGGAACTACAGGTATGCACCACCACACCCAGTTAATATTTGTATTTTTAGTAGAGACAGGGTTTCACCACGCTGGCCAGGATGGTCCTGATCGCCTGACCTCATGATCCACCCACCTTGGCATCCCAATATGCTGGGATTACAGGCGGGAGCCACTATGCCTGGCCTAAGTTTTTATTGCAGGTAGTGTACGCATAATATATGTCAAAATATCAATAGTTATATCTGAAATTATGGGTGACTTTCATTTCCTCCTTTGGGCTTTTTTGGATGTCCTAAATTTTCTGCAATGAATATGTGTTATTTCTACAATCAGGAAAAAAATGAATTCCAAGTTAAAGAAAAATTGCTGTTTAATAAGTAAGGTGCCCTTAGGTCTTTGAGACATTATTCCTAATATATCTAAAAGTTGCCACCTTCATCATGACTTAATGATTCAACTTAAATCACCTGTGGGATTACACAGTCTCTTAGAAGAAAAAAGGAGGATTTAAATTGGCTACCAGAGCCGCTGGAGGGTCCTCTGGAAAAGCTTAGGGCCAGAGGTTGGAGAGTACTTAGGTTGATGCAGATTGATTTACTATTGATTCAAACTTACGACATGAATTTCTACTGCAGATGAAAGCTTTATTTTCAGTCTGCCCTCCTCACCGCTACTAACAGTCATCTGGAACTGAGGGATATTTGCCTATGGTTTCTACAGCAAGACTGTAGTAAAAGAGAAAGTCATTATGATTCAAACAAACCTGAAGAGGAACAGCCACAGTGACTTCTGTATCTAGACAGAAAGAGACACACTAGAGAAAAGGAATACTGAGGAGAAATATCTGTGCTTATGTCTACAATGGCTTTGTTGTTTTGAAGACTGAAGTTGCAATAAGCCATGTTATTTATTGTATGTGGCAAATTTGAGGATTCTACACTGATGCTTTTAAAAGAGGATAATTAAAGCAGAGTTGATTTTCAGAAAGGAGAGGGAATACGTGAACTAGGAATTAGAAATGATTATTTTATTTGAAAAGTTTGGAATACAACAGTGAAAAGAGCATGGGAAATAAGGTATTACTGGTTGAAGAAAATACTTGGATACTTAAGCAGGTCACTTTAAATTAGTCGTTTTTCCTCACCATGGAAAATGAAAGAATAGCAGCCTTAGGAGTTCGGATTAAACTAACATGACGTATTTGCACTCCCTCTGTGCCGAGACCTTTCTGGTATGTTATGTTAATCCTCACAACAACCCTACAAAGTAGACACCATTACCACATTGAACATCATTCTCACTTCCAAGAAGACTGTTCTTTCCATTAAAACATAGTACTTCTCCATAAAGATGCCTTACTAGCAGGAAGAACAAAGGGGTAAGAGAACTGGATCACAGCAGGCTTCCATGGTGCAGCCCTAGAAATGATTAGAACATAATATCCTGCATATGCTAATAAATCTCAGAGGCATCCCCACTGCTCAGATAGAGACTCCTACAATGTAAGAGCTTAAAGCTTCGGCTGTATTCCTAGCAATGTTAGTGAAAAAACACAGAATAAGGCTGTATAAAGAAAGGAAAAGAAGACTCTAACTCACCCAGTATTACTTATTATCAACTCCTTTTAGTGCTCCTAGAGGGTCATTTATTTGGAGAAGCATTGAGGATTTCCTTGTTCTTCTCATATTGTGATGAGCAATTGTGTTTTATAAATGGTAGGAAAAATCTGGATGAAGCAGGATATAGGATGTAATATTTAGTGCTGAAATTCCTTCCTATAGAAACCTTTCCTGGTGGGTATAACGTATCCTGCTTCAAAAGGTTCCTTGGGTTGAAATCAGGCAAACTGAGTGAGTGAGCATGTGTTACAACCATTCTCTCCTGCTAGTAAACACCGAGAGAAGGGTGAATGCTTCACAATCCACAGTTCTCAAGTGAATTTTGCTTTCTTCCCATAGGTGATGCCCAATACTGGGACAGATCTATGATGCAGCCTTTGGGGAGAGATGAATGAAACCTGGAGAATCAAGAAACTGAAATTCTACATTTTTATAACAAAGAAAAAAGCAGAGGTAATAGAAGCCCCTGCTGTTTCCCTGTCTCTCCCACCCACCAGGCATCACCTCTGTCTTTCTTTTTCTTGTGTGATATTGCCAGATGCTCTGCAGTGCTTCCTATCTGCACTGCTAAGCTTGATCACATTCTAAATGGTGGGTTCTAGAATCCTTTTGCAATAACTGAGGCTGTGTCAGTATATCTACTAATAATGGATATAAGTGTGAGATTTATTGGTGGACATAAGAACACTAAATGGCATTTAATTAATCTACATAATATAATGTAACATAAAGCCCCTCTCAATTTCCTGTCCATTGTCTGTTTTATTCCCTACTTGGTTTTTAGAGAAAACTGTCCATTCTACACATTCTTGCCACTGTTACCTTCCAAGAAAAATATTTTATATATTTATATTTCTAATATATAAAATAATAAAATGTAGGTTAATTCAGGATTATTTGGAAAATATGGAGAAGATAAAATTATTGGTGCCCTAAGTCTCACATTCCAGAGAAAATCATATTTAACATTTTGGTGTCATTTCTTCAGACACATAAGTACAAAATTGTAATCATTTATATTATTAGGACCTTCCTTTTTAAAAATATTATATATGTGCATTGTCCCTTGTCCTTACTCTTCTCCAAGACTACAGTTTGCGATGGTGGTAGTCCCTGACAGATTAAATAGTCTCACATGTATATCATGCCCATCACATGCCAGAATGTCAGCATTCTAGAAAAAAGACTTATAGCAACTCCTAAAGCATGACTGAACTTGAAATATGATAGTACATGCAATGATATTTTTTCAATTGTTGAATCATTCAGGGGCAGATGTTAAATAATAATGCGTTTTTGAATGACTTTTAGGAAAATGTCTCCAATGTCCACTATTTGGAGTTATACTGACCAATTGTTAGACAGAAATTATCTTCATTATCTTAGTGAATTATCCTCCTAAGCTTAGATTACTGAGACATTTTACTAAGAGTGAATATTGTAGTCTATCAAATGGCTTTTGGCATCTAGTAAGATGACAATGTATTTTACTTTTGTTACCTACTTGCTTCATATATTGATAGATTTCTAATTTGGAATTCCATGTGTTAATAAAAACAAATAACATTATTTTCGTATATAGTTTGGATATACTCTATTTCTGTACATATATTTATTAATTGGATTGATCATAGTTTTAGTCTTTAGAGAGTTTTCAGTAAAAGGCTATTTTAGGTTGATAAAATAATTTGCAAAGTATACAATAACTTTTTTACATGAAAATAAGTTACATAGCACATAAATTGTTTCTTATAAGTATAAAATAATTATCAAAAACATTCTTCACCCAGTGTCCATTTTGGAAGTCTAGTACTCACAGTGGGATCCCTACTGGGTATCACAGAATATATGGCATAGTATGTGTTCAATAAGTGAGTAAGTGAAGGTTGCTCTTGGGGCAAAAGCACATGGTAGGGGCATCCTACTCAGACCAAGAGGTGAGAAAGTCTTCCAAGAAAATATCTAAGTTGAGAGGAGTCCTTCTGACTCAGGAAAAAGCATGTACAAATGAATGGAGGAAAAGGCGGTATTTGCGGGAGGTAATAAGAAACTCAGAATGTTCACTGCAGAGCATCGCAGGAATCAATAGGAGCTTTGGAATTTCTACATTGGAGGGACCTTGGGATGACAATGTGGCCGGAGGATGGGCTGGAGGGCTTTTCCTGAAGTGTGTTGCACAGCAGGCACATTGTTTTTCCTCAGACTGTATTTCTCTACTTATGTGTCTTTTGTGGGGAGGCTGGTGAATATTACTGAGAAGCAAACCCATTCAATAACACCTTCCTTGACATTATCATGGGAGAAGAAATGGCTGAAGTGGGAAGAAAAAAAAAAAGAACTGAGGGAGTTAAAATAGGTTTTTGTGATAGGTTAATGTTTTTGTGTGGAGCTATTTTTGTTTTCACTTATTCACCCTTAATTCTGGAAAAAAATATTCCCCGCTTACCTGGGACCTTTTTTGAACAGAGAAAATGACATTCATTTCTTCAGTACCCCTTTCTCCTCACCAGTTTCACTCTAGGATAGAAATATTAAGTTTAGTGTACTTTCTTTAACAGTAAAAATTGGCTCCTTTTCCTTCTTTTCTCCTTCTCACCCTTCACAACAACTATCTTCCAACAAATTAAAACTGCTGCCTTAACTGATTTCTTTGTGGAAATAAGTCCATGTGCCAATGTGACTAGAAACAGGAACGGGCATGTGGAAGAAGGAAATACTTGTCCCGGAAAAGGAATTAACATCCCTGACTGTGGAACGGTGTATACTGCCACATCAGTGTTTGAGTCAATGCCCAGAGGAGAGAGGGGGACCCTCCATCTTTTTTGCAACATCTCATATTTCCTTTTGCTGTTGCTTCCCCACACACACACTTGATTTTGTTCTATCCTACATTTGAGATTTCTATTTTGTGTTGAACTTGCTGCTTTTTTTCATATTGAAAAGATAACATTGCCCCAAGAGCCAAAAATAAATGGGAATTGAAAAAAAAAAAAAAAAAAAAGGAAATACTTTCTAATATACTAAGACTGTGGTACCATCATCTCTGTTTTTAACCTTACAAAATCACTGTTCAGATTATATTCTTTAAGAGGAAGAGAAATGATATGGAAAAGGAATGAAAAGGAAATAACTGGCATGTCTTGTCCTTATAGGAAGATAGGAATGCTGTTGTCTATTACCAGGCAAGAAATAAGGCCCTTATACATGTCTTCAAGTTCTTTGGATACAGAAAGTCCAGAGAAAATGTGTGGCTTGGGGGCAAGAATATGACCAGCAAGAAATACTTTCATTTACCACCAAAACCCAGGGAACTCTAGCTATGACAGAAATAGTATAACAAAGTTACACACATAGTATACAAAGTACCTTCATATAGTAAATCAGTACTTACGTTGGGCACTTAACAGAATATGAAGCAACTGCAGGATAGCTGAGTTTTTAATGACATGGGGCTAAAGTTATAAGTAGGAAGAACTAGCAAAAGATGAGTGGGGATGGAAAAGGTAGAAAAGCCAGGTATTAGGAAAATTAAAGATCCTGAAATGCATATTGATTTGCAGAGTAAAAACAAAAGCTAGAGGATTCCAGGTATGTGGTTGGTAGAAGCAAATGTGATAGAATTCTCATGTCATTATTCTTGATTATGCTAATTCTCATGATTGTGAAATTGCCTGCTATGTGTAGACAACCAAAAAGGCCACATTCCAAAGTTTACAAGAAATAAAAGGCTGTGATCCAACCTTCAGAGTTTACTAGCATATCATGTATAAGCAGAAATAAAACAAGCAAGATATTAGCTCTATCAGTTTAACACAGCAGGAAACATTTTTGTAGTCCTCTCTCACTTAGAATCAGTGTAAGAATCTGTGAGAAGCAGTGTGGTCTAGTGGGTAAAAGGGTTGACCCTGGAGCCAGGCAACTGAACATTGAATTTTGGCATTGGGATATATTATCTCTGTGACCTTGTAAAAGTTATTTAAACTTTTCTTTGTCTCTGTTTCCTCTCTGAAAAATGGGAGTTAAATATATTATTATCTAGGTCACTGAGTTGCACAAAGATTAAGTGATTAATACATTCAACGAGCTTACAGCAGTGAAATGTGCTTACAAAAAAGTGCTCAGTAAAATAGTAGCCATTGTCAGTTCTGTCACACATGGAAGCTTCCTGGCCAAAATTTCAAATAGTATGGAAGACCTGGGGATGTGTTCCAATGCATTAAATACAGAAATTGAAAGAAAAGTATATATTCATAAGTACTTGTAAATGATATAAACTTGCCTGCAAAAGCATAAAATGTGCATCAAAAAGGTAGAGAAAAAGGAATAGAGAATTTAGACCAATTGGAAAATTACAAAAGTGAAGAAGAAAGGTAATACTTGGTGACTAATATTAAAGGGTGAATTCTAGGCCCTAAAGAAAGCTGTACATAATAGCAGTCCAATAACCTCAGTTCCTGGGAACTATATACCAGTGACTCCCAGACTCTTAACTGGTTAGATATCCCCTTTGGATCAGAAAATTGTTCTTGTTCCATCAATTATGCTCCCAGATTTCAATTCCCTTGCCCCAAAATTTAAAAAACAACAACTTTTCCTTCTGACCCAGTCAAGTCGACTTAAAAGCTATAATTTATAATATATATGAATATATAAATATATACTCACTGCTATTTTGACTCTATCATAATCTCTTATATATAATTTTAGATGACATGTTGGAACTACTTACTATACCTGTAACCTAATAGATGTTATCTAAGTTAATTTTCACAATAAACTACCAAACAGTTATGGCTTTCCCCCAATTTTCCTGGCTGAAACTAGTAGCTTAGCTAGCTTAGACTCAAAAATGTTAACTTGAGAGTCATAGTGAGGATGACTGGCATAGTTCTGAATCTCCATGATATTTTAAATTAGATACATGTTTATAAAAATAAAGATTTCAAAGTACTCATCAATAGAGATTCATATGTACCCACCTTTGAAAGTACTTTGTCCCTAGATATTATATAAGTAGAGGACTGGCACTTCCTGGCATAGCCTCTGCTACTGAGTCATACTAAAAAATATTGATTTCAGTGCCCCTTTTATCATTAGCAAAGTGAATATAATAGCCCTGCTCTTACTGATTGCAGAGGGTGTTCTAAGGATAAAACAAAACGATGAACATGAAAGTTATTTGATAACTCTACATTGAAATTTCAAAATTTCCTGAATCATATTCTTTTCTAAACTCTGCAGATGACATCAACACATAGAGACAAGAAATTACACTGCCGTGACTGAATTCTTTCTGGCAGGGCTTTCCCATAGCTCCAGCTTTTTCGTTCATGCTCTGCCTCATCATGTACATGATAATCCTCCTGGGAAACAGCTTCCTCATTATCATCAGCATCCTGGATTCTTGCCTCCATACCCCTATGTATTTCACTTTACCTGAATCATGTCCTTTTCTATACCCAGCAGACAGGTAACCTAGAACACATGGAGACAAGAAATTACTCTGCCGTGACTGAATTTTTTCTGGTGGGGCTTTCCCAATATCCAAAGCTCCAGCTTTTTCTGTTCCTGCTCTGCCTCATCATGTATGTGATAATCCTCCTGGGAAATAGCCTTCTCATTATCATCAGCATCCTGGATTCTCGCCTCCATACCCCTATGTATTTCTTTCTTGGAAACCTCTCATTCCTGGACATCTGTTACACATCATCATCCATTCCTCCAATGCTTATTATATTTATATCTGAGACAAAATCTATCTCCTTCATTGGCTGTGCTCTGCAGATGGTTGTGTCCCTTGGCTTGGGCTCCACTGAGTGTGTCCTCCTGGCTGTGATGGCCTATGACCGGTATGTGGCCATCTGCAACCCACTGAGGTACTCCATCATCATGAACAGAGTGCTGTATGTGCAAATGGCTGCATGGTCCTGGATCATAGGCTGTCTGAACTCCTTAGTGCAGACAGTCCTGACAATGGTGTTGCCTTTCTGTGGGAATAATATCATTGATCATCTTACTTGTGAGATCTTGGCTCTTCTTAAAGTCATATGCTCAGATATCTCCATGAATGTGTTTATAATGACAGTGGCAAATATTCTTTTATTGGTGATTCCTCTTCTGTTAATTTTTTTCTCCTATGTGTTTATTCTCTCTTCCATCTTGAGAATTAATTCTGCTGAGGGAAGAAAGAAAGCCTTTTCTACATGTTCAGCGCACTTGACTGTGGTCATCTTATTCTATGGCTCAGCCCTTTTCATGTACATGAAGCCCAAATCAAAGTACACAAAAGCATCTGATGAAATCATTGGATTGTCTTATGGAGTGATCACCCCAATGTTGAACCCCATCATCTACAGCCTGAGGAATAAAGAGGTAAAAGAAGCTGTGAAGAAAATCCTCAGCAGACACTTGCATCTATGGAATATATGAAAGGCATTGAGGCACGTGATGTTCTAAACAAGGGATCAGATCAGGTGTTTTGTATTCACAGATAAAGTCACAGAATCTGATGCCAAGAGAGTGTGTATGTTTGTAAAGACAACTTTGGGATTCCATTCTTTTCATCACAGAATGCTCATGTATGCCTTCTGAATAATATCTTGTCTGCAGAGTTTCAAGCTGTAGGTATCTATGTTCATTGATCCCATATAGGGAAATGATTTTTCATCAAGATAAATCTCACTCTTCTCTACTCTTTTTCTCTTTCTTACTCATTTTTCTTTCCCTCTTCTCCATCTCCTCCTCTTTCTTGGCTTTCCTCCTCTTCCCTTCTTCATCTGCCTCCTTTCTCTTTCTTCCTCTGTCTTCCTGGTCTCCTTTATCTGTCATTTTGAATAGAACATCTATTGCTTTGTTGTACAGCATCCCCTCTTCTGGTAAATGTTATATATATCAACATTCCCTTCCTCTGAGTCCCTGTGGTCTGCATAGGGCTACAGATATAGTGGTAGATGCTGAACAAAGGCCTAGCTAATAAAAAAGCAAATCCCTCTAGCTAAGTGATTCATTCAGAATAGCAAGTGAGCCAAGTCGGGCTAATCAAACTCAAGACTGCTGTTTGCTTAACTGGAGAAATGTGAGCCTGCAGCCAATCTTTGACAGTATGAGGGGAGAGCCTAACTGAGATGTAAAGGGGAGTTCAGAAGGAGAGAGAGGGTGTCTGATGCTGCTAATGCCTCAATTCAGCTCTGTCTAAAGTCATTTTCACATTATTTTTAGTTCCTGAGTCAATAAATTATCTTTCAATGAAAAACTAATTTTAACATGAGGGGGTCATGGCAGACAGGAGGCAAGACTAGATTGCAACTCCAGACAGAGCAGCGTGCAGAGGCTTACACTGTGAATTTTAGCTCCCGATGGACTGCAAGAACAAACCAGCAATCCCGAGAGGACCCACAGACCCTCTGAAGGAAGTGGACTGCTCCTGTAGGACCTGGGAGATGCCCCAAATACTGTGAGTGCCCCAACTGCAGAAATGGCAAGGGGAGACCCTCCTCTCCCAAACACACACCCCCCACTGGAGAAGCTGAAGGTCTGTTAGCAGGAAAAATTTCTGACTTTACCTGGAGCTGACCCAAGTTAGAGAGCCGAGTGAAATACAGGGGTAGAGGAAGCAGCAGAAAGGCCCTGGGAGCTCATTGGTTCCCCAAGCAGCCCATTCCTGCCTGGCACCACAGGAATCCATCGGGAGGGTGGCCAGAGGAGCAGGAGGTGAAACTCCACAGGGAGAAGGAACTCTAACTGCAAGTTTTCGAGCTCCTCTCACACTCTGTCTGGACACAAACTCAAGGCTGTTGGGGGTGGCGGTGGCACTGTGGGAATGAGACCAGACCTTCAATTTTCATGGGAGTTGGGTGAGGCCTGTGATTGCCAGTCTTACCCACTTTCCTGACAACGTGCATGACTCAGCAGAGGCAGCCATAATCCTCCTAGGTACACAACTCCAGTGACCTGGAAATCTCACCCACATCCTCAATAGCAGCTGCAGCAAGACCCACCCAAGGAAAGTCTGAGTTCAGGGTACTCCTTACCCCACCCCAACCTGATGGTCCTTCCCTATTCACTCTGGTAGTGGAAGACAAAGGGCATATTGTCTTGGGAGTTCTAGGGCCCCACCCACCACTGGTACCTCTCCACACTACTACAGCTTATGCTTTCTTGAAAATACCAACTCCTGGCAGGAGGCCAACCAGCACAAAAATAGAGCATTAAACCACCAAAGCTAAGGACCATCATGGAGTCCACGCACCCTCTGCCACCTCCACTGGAACAGGTGCTGATATCCACGGCTGAGAGACCCATAGACAGTTCACATCACAGGACTTTGTGAAGATAACCCCAAGTAACAGCCCTGATCCCGGTAGACTTGCTGGGTGGCTAGACTCAGAACAGAGACAACAATTACTGCACTTCGGCTCACAGGAAGCCACATCCATAGGCAAAGGGAGAGAGTACTACATCAAGGCAACACCCTGTGGGACAAAAGAATGTGAACAACAGCTTGCAGCCCTATACCTTCCCTCTAACAGAGCCTACCGAAATGAGAAGGAACCAGAAAAGCAACCCTGGTAATATGACAAAACAAGGCTCTTCAACACAACCCAAAAAATCACTAGTTCACCAGTAATGGATCCTAACCAAGAATAAATCCCTGATTTACCTGAAAAATAATTCAGGAGGTTAGTTATTAAGCTAATCAGGCAGACACCAGAGAAAGGTGATGCCTAACGCAAGGAAATAAAAAAAAAAAGATACAAGAGGTGAAGGGAGATATATTCATGGAAATAGAGAACTTAAAGAAAAAACAATAAAAATTTCAGGAAACTTTAGACACACTTTTAGAAATGTGAAATGCTCTGGAAAGTCTCAGCAATAGAACTGAACAAGTAGAAGAAAGAAATTCAGAGCTCGAAGTCGAGGTCTTCAAATTAACTCAATCCAACAAAGACGAAGAAAAAAGAATAAGAAAATATGAACAAAGCTTCCAAGAAGTCTGGGATTATGTTTAACAACCAAACCTAGGAATAATTGTTGTACCTGAGGAAAAAGAGAATTCTAAAAGCCTGGAAAACATATTTGGGGGAATAATCAAGGAAAACTTCCCCAGCCTTGAGAGAAACCTGGGCATCCAAATACAAGAAGCACAAAGAACACCTGGGAAATTCATTGCAAAAAGATCTTCACCTAAGCACACTGTCATCAGGTTATCCAAAGTTAAGATGAAGGAAAGAATCTTAAGAGCTGTGAGACAGAAACACCAGGTAACCTATAAAAGAAAATCTACCACATTAACAGCAGATTTCTCAGCAGAAACCCTACAAAGTAGAAAAGATTGGGGACCTATCTTCAGCCTCCTCAAACCAAACAATTATCAGCCAAGAATTTTGTATCCGGCAAAACTAAGCATCATACATGAAGGAAAGATAAAGTCATTTTCAGATAAACAAATGCTAAGAGAATTTACCATTACCAAACCACCACTAAAAGAACTGCTAAAAGGAGCTCTAAATCTTGAAACAAATCCTGGAAACACATCAAAACAGAACCTCTTTAAAGCATAAATCACATTAGACATATAAAACAAAAATACCAGTTGGAAAGCAAAAGCAAAACCAAAGTACACAGGCAACAAAGAACATGATGAACGCAATGGTACCTCACATTTCAATATTAACATTGAATATAAATAGCCTAAATGCTACACCAACCAACTATCTGCTGCCTTCAGGAGACTCACCTCACACATAAGGGCTAACATAAACTTAAAAAGGGTGAAGAATGGAATTTCATGCAAATAGACACCAAAAGCAAGCAGAGGTAGCTATTCTTACATCAGACAAAACAAACTTTCAAGCAACAGTGGTTAAAAGAGAGAAAGAAGGACAGTAGATAATGGTAAAAGGCCTCATCCAAAAGGAAAATATCACAATCCTAAACATATACGCACCTAACACTGGAGCTTTGAAATTTAAAAATCAATTACTAGGCCAGGTGTGGTGGCTCACACCTGTAATCCCACCACTTTGGGAGGCCGAGGTGGGTGGATCATGAAGTCAGGAGATTGAGACCATCCTGGCCAACATGGTGAAAGCCCATCTCTACTAAAATACAAAAAATTAGCCAGGCGTGGTGGCACACGCCTGTAATCCACTCTACTTGAGAGGCTGAGGCAGGGGTATCACTTGAATCCAGGAGGCAGAGGTTGCAGTGAGCTGAGATCATGCCACTGTACTCCAGCCTGGCAACAGAATGAGACTCCATCTAAAAAAAAAAAAAAAAAAATTACCAACAGACCTAAGAAATGAGATAGCAACACAATAATAGTGGAGCACTTCAATACTCCACTGACAGCACTAGACAGGTTATGGACAGAAAGTCAACAAAGAAACAATGGATTTAAACTATACCTTGGAACAAATGAACCTAACAGATACATACAGAGTATTTCATCCAACAAGAAATTTCTTTCTTCTACTTGTTCAGTTCTATGGCTGAGACTTCCCAGAGCATTTCACATTTCTAAAAGTATGTCCAAAGTTTCCTGAATTTTTTATTGTTTTTCCTTTAAGCTATCTATTTCCATGAATATTTCTCCCTTCACCTCTTGTATCATTTTTTAAAATTAAAATTACATACACATTCTATTCAGCAGCACATGGAACTTTCTCCAAGATGGACCATATGATAGGCAATAAAACAAGCCTCAATAAATATAAGAAAATTGAAATTATATCAAGCACTCTCTCAGACCACCGTGGAATAAAACTGAAAATCAACTACAAAAGGAACCTTCAAAACTATGCAAATACATGGAAATTAATTAATGCTCCTGAATGAGCATTGGGTCAAAAATGAAACCAAAATGGCATTTAAAAAATTCTTCTAAGTGAATGACAACAATGACAAAACCTATAACAAACTCTGGGATACAGCAAAGGTGGTGTTAAGAGGAAAGTTCATAGCCCTAAGCACCTACATGGGAAAGTCTGAAGGAGCACAAACAGGCAATCTAAGGTCACACCTCAAGCAAGTAGAGAAACTAGAATAAACCAAACCAAAACCCAGCAGAAGAAAGGAAATAACCAAGATCAAAGCAGAACTAAATGACACTGAAACAAATAAAAATAATTACAAAAGATAAATGGAACAAAAAACTGCTACTTTGACAAGATAAATAAAATTGATGGATCATTAGCAAGATTACCCAAGAAAAGAAGAGAGAAAAGCCAAGTAACCTCACTGAGAAACTAAGCAGTAGATATTACAACTGACACCAATGAAATACAAAAAAATCATTCACGGCTACTATGAACACCTTTATGCACATAAGCTAGAAAACCTACAAGAAATGGATAAATTCCTGGAAAAATACAACCCTCCTAGCTTAAATCAAGAAGAATTATATACCCTGAACAGACAATAACAAGCAATGAGATTGAAATCATAATTTTAAAATTACCAATTAAAAAAAAGTCCAGACCAGACAGATTTACAGCAGAATTCTGTCAGACATTTAGAGGAATGCCACAAGACAGAGAAAGAAGAAACCCTCCCTAATTCATCCTTGAGGAACACAATGCTAAAATCCCTAATAAAATACTAGCTAACCAAATCCAACAATATATCAAAAAATAATCCACCATAATCAAGTGGGTTTCATAACAGGGATGCAGGGATGGTTTAACATACTTAAGTCAACACAACATACACAGAATTTAAAACAAAAAATCACATGATCACCTCAATAGATGCAGAAAAAGCATTCAACAAACTCCAGCATCCCTTATGATTAAAACTCTCAGCAAAATTGGCATACAAGGGATATACTTCAATGTAATAAAAGCCACCTATGACAAACCCACAGCCAACATGATACTGAATGGGGAAAAGTTGAAAGCACTCCCTCTGAGACCTGGAACAAGACAAGGATGCCCACTCTCACCACTCCTCTTCAAAATAGTACTGGAAATTCAAATAAGAGCAATCAGACAAGAAAACGAAATAAAGGCCATCTAAATCGATAAAGAGGAAGTCAAACTGTCACTTGTTCACTGATGATATAATTTTTTACCTTGAAAACCCTAAGAACTCCTCTAGAAAGCTCCTAGAACTGATAAAATAATTCAGCAAAATTTCTGGATACAAAATTAATGTACACAAATCAGTAGCTCTTCTATACATCAAAAGCAAGTAAGCAGAAAATCAAATCAAGAACTCAATCCCTTTTACAATAGCTGCAAAAAAAAAAAATTCTTAGGAATATATCTAACAAGCCAAAAGACCTCTACAAGGAAAACTGCAAAACACTGCTCAAAGAAATCATAGGTGACACAAACAAATGGAAACACATCCCATGCTCATGGATGGGTAGAATCAACATTGTGAAAATGACCATACTGCCAAAAGCAATCTACAAATTCAATGCAGTCCCCATCAAAATACCATCATTATTCTGTACAGTTAGAAAAAACAATTCTAAAATTCATATGGAACCAAAAAAGAACCCACATAGCCAAAGCAAGACTAAGCAAAAATAACATTTTGCAATATGACTTTATTAAATGTTTTGTTATATGGTATTGTATTTTTTCAATGTGGCATAGTTTTTTTTAAAGTAAGAGATGGGTACAAACTCTAACACCTTAGTGTACTAGGATTATAAACTTTAATTTTTCAGAGTCTCCATTTCCATAAAATGTGGCATTTAGTCCCTAGCTTAAGGGGTCTTATGGGAATTGAATAAGAAAAAAAAATGCAAAATGCCTTGTTCAGTGCTTGACTAAATGTCAGGCAACAAAAAATATACATTCCCTTTACCTCTCTCCATATATAACTATCTTGCCTAACAGACTGAGGGGGTTCCCTGAGGGAAAGATATGAAAGTAGTATGTACTTAGGCTGGGCGTGGTGCCTCACCTGTAATTCTAGGACTTTGGGAGGCTGAGGTGGGCGGATCACAAGGTCAGGAGTTCAAGACCAGCCTGACCAACATGCTGAAACCCTCATCTCTACTAAAAATAAAAAAATTAGCTGGGACTGGTGGCACACGCCTATAATCTCAGCTACTCAGGAGGTTGAGGAAGAGAATAGCTTGAACCTGAGAGGCGGAGGTTGCAGTGAGCTGAGTACCACTGCACTCCAGCCTACTCTGTCTCAGAAAAAAAAAAAAAAAGTAGTGTACTTAAGAGTCCTTGGTACCCAGAACAAAGTAAGCATTTACTGTAAATGTGCGTTGAATGAGTAAATGGGTGATTGTCTTTCTTATGCTGAAGTTAAACCATTTTATTTAACATTGCCTGAATAATCCTTATGATTGCTACATCTGCATTTTTGCTAGTACCATTCTCTCCACCTAAAATTATCCCATAACCTACTATAAAAAATCAAGGTTCTCCTCAAAAAACATCTCCTCTAGCTTTAAAGGCTTTTTTAATCATCCTAACAAGACTCTACCTTGTCTTCCTGTAAGTTTATACAATCTACATAGGTTTTGGAGTGTTTGTTATGTTTTAACTATGTTTATTATGTGTTTTTTATTATTCTCTTCAATTATCTATATACAATATGTCTGTTATTTTATTCAAAGGTCATCAGACACAGAGGCTGTGAGTTATCTGTTCTTATACCACAAATGTTAACAGTGGGCTTCAATGAATAGATTCTTTGGATTTTGCTTTATTGTATAAAGTCTATTTGTTTATTAAGATAATTTTCTTTTCATAGAATATGAATAATGCGACTGTGTTGTATGTAACACATACAGCTAGCAATAATCCTGCTTAAAATAATATTTCCTTTGTTGTATATATGGTTTTGTCTATTCTGGGCATCAGAGGTTTGACTGTAACAAAGTCCATCTAACCTAGTTATACATAGATATAACCTGTGAACTACTTTATTATGCTTATAACTAGACAATGACCAAAATAAAATCTTAACTTATAGAACAGTGACTCCCATATATGCATCTCTAGCCCTGAGATATACTCCAGTAGGCATTTTAAATATGACATGTCCAAAGTAGAAACCTTGATTTTCCCATACCCAAACTACTTCTCTTCAAGTCTTCCCCATCGCAGGTAGTGGGATCAACATAAACTCACATCCAGCCTCCCCAGGGATACTATTGATTCTATATTCAAAATTTTACTCTAAGTCTGACCGCTTCCTCTGCTACCACCCCAGTCCAAGCCATCATCATCTCACATAAGCTACTGCCATGGCTTCCCAAATCACAGCCCTGATTCCCCTTTTGTTCTCCTACAATTCCTTCTCTGCACAGCAGCCAAAGTGTTTTTAGAAGAGTATATACTGAAGTTATAAAACAGGTAAAAATAAATTAATGGTACTTTAAAATCAGAACAGTCGCTGCTCATGTGGAGAAAGGGTTAAAGCAGGTATCAATCAGAATGGGGAATGAAGAAACTTTTCTGAGGTCCTGTTAATGTTCTATATCTCACCAGGAATTTGTCAAAACTGAATAAGTAAGATTGATGAATTTAATGTATGTAAATTTTAAAAGACAAAACTGTAAATAAATATTAAACTCTACTTAATGATATACATGCTAAAGTATTTAGGAAAAAGTGTACAATATCAGCAGTGTACTTTAAAAGCATCCAAAAATGACATGGATTTAACAGGATAGAGAGATGAATAGAAACATAGATATGAGGCTGGGTGCAGTGGCTCACACCTATAATCCCAGCACTTTGGGAGGCATGAGGCAAGCAGATCACCTGAGGTCATTCCTGGCCAACATGGTGAAACCCTACCTCTACTAAAAACACAAAATCAGCTGGGTGTGGTGGTGCAAACCTGTAATCCTAGCTACTCCAGAGGCTGAGGCAGGAGAATCGCTTGAACCTGGAAGATGGAGGTTGCAGTGAGCTGAGATTGTGTCATTGCACTCCGGCCTGGGTGACAAGATCAGATAAAATGAAGGAGCGAGGGAGAGAAGGATGGAAGGAAGGATAGAGGGAGGGAGGGAGAGAGGGAGCGAGGGAGGGAGGGAGGGAGGGAAGGAAGGAAGGAAGGAAGGAAGGAAGGAAGGAAGGAAGGAAGGAAGGAAGGAAGGAAGGAAGGAAGGAAGGAGGAAGGAAGGAAGGAAGGAAGGAAGGAAGGGAGGGGATAAGCAAATCCTCTAAAATGTTAGTGGTAAAATCTAGTTGGTTGGTATATGATGTTCAATGTAACATTCTTTCAGTTTTGCTTTGTGTTTGAAATCTTTCATAATACAGTGTTGAAAAAACTGTATAAAA